CCCGACCTGAATACCCGATTAAGCAGGTAATCTCCACCCCCATTAGGGGCGGAGCCCGGGGGTATCGAGTTTGGACGGATTTTTTTGTCGTCCCTACTTATAGTTTATGCCATTTCATGTTAATTATACATGAGGTATTGTTATAAATTTTATTTTATTTTTGTATAGGTTTTTATTAAGTATATATTGATAATTAATAATAATAGCATTTAATAAAATTTAATTAACTTGATTTTATATATTGTAGATGATGCTCAGTGTTTCACTTTTGTAAGAGTAATGCTATTCATCTTTATTGGGGATGAAAACACAGTCTACGTGGCACAAATGTGACATTAAATGATAGGTGAAATTAAATCATTTAATTTCACCTATCATTTAACCTATCATTTAGTGCCACCTAAACTGTGTTTTCATCTCCACTGGGGATGAATAACATTACTCCTTTTGTAATCATGATTTGGATCATTTCCACGTGCACAATGCCTAACGTGAAATATATAAATAATATTGTGAATATGTGGTCACAAAAATTGTCTTTCGGGCAACACACAATTTATACAAAAAATATATTTCAACTAATCCAGTTAGTTACAAGATATTGAAATTTAAATATAAATTTGGTCATGCAAATATCCATGATTTTTCTTAGGAATAGCAATTGGGTGGGCGGAATGTGCCCGGGAGGCCGTTACCATCCTCGCCTCATCTAGATTTTCGAGAAGCATGGCAACGGAAAGAGAATTAAAAAAAATCTTCATTTACCATTCTGTTTTTAAGTAATTAATTATTTTATTTTTTAACATTTGGCAAGGGGCGCGACCGAATTTTTTTTCATCTCTAAAATATAGATGCCTGATTTTTTTAAAGGTCGCAATAAAATGGTTACACGTCATATTTACCCTTTTCAGTACCCTAGTATGGTCCAGAATGGATTTTTTATGGGGAAAAATTCACTTTCCCTACTTTATCTTTACCCTATTTCAAAAATAACAAAACAACTTTTACATTTTACAAATCAGAAATTTTGACTTATACATACACATTTATATAAATATTTATTTATACATATAAATAA